GCAGGGAGCGAGTTTTTTTTTTTTTTTTTTCCTTTATTACGGTCCGCATCCGGCTGGCAGGATTTGATATAGTGTGAATCAGCAACAGATATAATTTGAAGCAGATTATATAACACGGATAATTTGTTTAAATAAGTAATAAGTAATTCTTAGTAAAAAAAGTAAACACTTTCTTCACCTGTTCAAGAGAATGGCCATTCCCCAGGAGTATCCCTGGTTTGCTGAGAGATGTGTGATTTTAATGAGTCACCACGCGTGTTTGCCAGCCAAAGAAGGTTACAGAATTTAGTCTGCCCTGCATCGCTGAGAGAAGAGATGGATTCTTACCTTTTCCAAGGATATTTGCGCACACGTGAGTGTAACGAGCCCAGCTGGAATTCGAACTCGACACTACGATTTCTCATTTCGAGCCGCACGCAAGTAAGTAAAATGATGCATTAAATAAGTAACCAAGTAATCATTTTAAGTTTTTTTTTTTGTTTTTGTTTTTTTTTAAAGCGTTTCACTCCAAGCAAGGCGCGAAGCCACTAGGACGCAAGGGGTTACAGAAGATTTGGAGCAAGATCAGATAGGAGTGATAGAGGAAAGGATGAGGAGAAGGATAGTGGATAGATCAAGGCAACTGGAGATGTCGATTGACATTACATTTGAATAGTTGGAGATTAAAGCTGTCAGGGAAACTGGAATAGGGAAGGGAGTTCCACGGGCAAGAGGTGCGAGACATGAAGCTATTGGAGTAGAAGAGACGGCTACATTTAGTAGTTTCGACAGTGAAAGGGTGAGAGCGGGATGCCAGCCTCGTAGGGCGCTTGAATTCATGAAGTCTGGGAACCAGAAAAAGCAGCTTATCGGAGCAATTACCATGAAAGTATTTGTAAAAAAAGACAGAGAGAGGCGACGGCGCGTTTGTGAGAGAGCAACTGTAGACGAGATGCCAGAACAGGGCCAAGTATATTGCATATCCACCTCTGGAGCTTATCAAGAACCCCGAGGCAAACAGAAGGGGCTCCAGACCTGAATATCGGTGCCTTGATTAAATATAAAATGGTTGAATAATAGAACACCTACCAATCGAAGATCATAGAATCGACATTCTCTGACGAAGGTTGCCACGTCACTTGCACTCACGAAGAGGTTGAGGGCCAGCGAATTAGGTCTTTGTCAGGAAAAAAAACAAAGAAAATGTGGAACTTACCTGGAAAATAGAAAATAAATGAGAAAAAAAAATTCGTTAGAAAGACAGGCAACCATAAACAATTTCAAAAGAAAATACTGATTTTACAAGCAAATGTTCAAACAAATATACGGTGTCTGAGCAATAAGTGGTAGCGTATATCATAGCTTGGAAAAGCGTAAAGAATATACAAGACTTGATCAAAAGTTTCGGGACTGTTGCTATGTAACGATGCTAAATTAAGCAGAGGAAAGCCGCCTGGCACTGAGTAACCTTGCTCACTGTGGTGCAAGTTATAACGTTTTCGCTCAATTCCGTTGTTTATAGAATTACTTGGAAGGAAAGTGTGTAGAGTGTGGCCGTCTCATCACAGAGATTTCATCAATAACCATGACATGTACAGCAGTTTTTTGGCGAAGCTCCACATTCTCCAGGAATGAAATCCTTCTTGAAAGGAACAAGATTTCATGACGTTGAATGATCCCTAAAAGAATGCCACGAGGCAGCTGCTTACCCCCAACCAAAAAAAAAAAGAAGTCCTTTCATCAATGGAAACGACGTGCGTGGCGACAGACGGGGACTACTTCGAAGGAGATTAAATACCGAATTAATAGGTGTTGTAGTTTTCTTTTTATCGCACCAGCCCTGATACATTTTTTTTTATCAGACCTCGTATGTATCAAGATGGATAAATGTAGATACTTCGATCGCTTCGTGGGAAATTCATTATCAACGTTAAAATTAAATGGTAACGTTTTGAGTTGGTGACATACAGAAGAGGGTAACAGCAATACTGTAAAATCTCGCTGTTTTGATCTATCGATTAAAGGGAATTTCAATCTTTGAAGGCAACTGATTATTTGTTACTTGATATTCCTTGCTTATAACATCTCTTTGCTAGAGCAACAATCCTATATTGTCACATCTTCATGAACATAAAAGTGTTCATTTCCCATTCTACCATATCTATCTATCTAGCTAGCTAGCTAGCTAGCTCGCTAGCTCAGTCGCTTCAATATCTATCTATCTATCTATCTATCTATCTATCTATCTATCTATCTATCTATCTCAGTCGCTTCAATATCTATCTATCTATCTATCTATCTATCTATCTATCTATCTATATATCTTAGTCACTTCAATATCTATCTAGCTAGCTAGCTAGCTAGCTAGCTCGCTAGCTCAGTCGCTTCAATATCTATCTATCTATCTATCTATCTATCTATCTATCTATCTATCTATCTATCTATCTATCTCAGTCATTCAATATCTATCTATCTATCTATCTATCTATCTATCTATCTATCTTAGTCATTTCAATATCTATCTATTCATCTATCTATCTATCTATCTATCTATCTCAGTCTATCCAATATCTATCTATCTATCTATCTATCTAACTCAAAAAGCTTATAATATCTCATCTATCTCAGTTTGCTTCAATATCTATCTATCTATCTATCTATCTATCTATCTATCTATCTATCTATCTATCTTGTGTCATAGTCACTTCAATATCTATCTATCTATCTAGCTCAGCTAGCTAGCTAGCTCAGTTTTTTCAATATCTATCTATCTATCTATCTAGCTAGCTAGCTAAAAGCTAACTCTATCGCTTTCAATATCTATCTATCTATCTATCTATCTATCTATCTATCTATCTATCTATCTTAGTCACTTCAATATCTATCATATCTATCTATCTATCTATCTATCTATCTATCTATTCACTCAGTCAATATCTATCTATCTATCTATCTATCTATCTGTCTAACTCAGTCGCTTTAATATCTATCTATCTATCTATCTATCTATCTATATATCTCAGTCCTTTTTAATATCTATCTATGTCAGTTGCTTCAATATCTATCTATCTCAGTTGTTTCAATATCTATCTATCTATCTATCTATCTTAGTCACTTCAATATCTATCTATCTATCTATCTATCTATCTATCTATCTATCTATCTATCTCTGTCTGTCTGTCTCTGTCTCTTTTCTCTCTCTCTCTATATATATATATATATATATGTGTCACACATTATGAAATGGACAAAGACCGACAATTATTTTAAGACAATTTTTATGTTTATACATACTTTTTTATAGATACAAATATTTAAGTAAATGCTCTGTTTATAATAAACAGTATTAAACAACATTTATCGGCCTGAATGTCTGAGAAATTTTCATCTCTTCTTCGTCCTTAGGAAAACAATATTCTATATTTCTGAGACAATTATTATGTACACTATTTACATTATTCGCACTTTGTCCTCATCTTTGTCGTCATATTTCTGCCATTTTTCTATTTAAAATTTCTCATCGTTCAGATTTAAATGTTGTTTTTCAGGTACTGTTTATTATAAACAGAGCATTTACTCAGATATTTGTATCTTCTAAAAAAGAATGTATAAACATAAAAATAGTTAAATATATATATATATATATATATATATATATATATATTTAAAAAAAATTACATATATATACAGAGATATACATATAGAGGCAGATACAGATATTAAAAATTATTACATAGATATGAAAAACTGAGATAGATAAATTCATATACATACCTATATATATATATATATATATATATATATATATATATATATATATATATATATATATATGAGACACAGAGAAAGAGAGAATTTGATTTGGTTTGTTTTGTTTTTCGATATATCAACTTCAGTGGGTTATTTTATGTCGACAATTTTTATTGCTGGTAATATTTTTTTTCGAAAATATATAGCAGGTATTTTATTTTTTTTTTTTTATAAATGTATTGTTGGTAATAAATTTTTCTTCAGAAACTCAATGCTGGTAATATTTTTTTTACAAAACAGAGTTTCTGGTATTAAAACCGATTTTTATCCTTTCATACTGTTTTGACCCTAGTTTAGAAGCTGGGACCCTAACGATTGAAACCACATTTTCAGGTCAGGGTGGACCTGGGAACACCAGCAATTAAGAGGTTTCCACACTCCTCAAAACCTCTAATCGGAGGCCTTTAAATGTTGGACGTGGTTTATCGTCTTACCCAGGACGCGGACGTAATTTATCGTTTTACCCAGGACGCGGACGTAGTTTATCGTCTTAAAGCCAGGACGCGGATGTAGTTTATCGTCTTATCTAGGACGCCACATTTGTGGGGAGGTTCTTACCCCTCTGCAGAAATGCAGTTAGAGTATACAGTCAACAAGCTCAAAATGGAGAGAGAGAGTGAGACATAAATGGTATTTATCAATCCACCGATAATCGAGGATGTGGCACAATGCCTTTTTATATGTGGGTATCTCTGAGCCTTAATCCCAAAAATAAAGAACCATCCAAACGCGCCGAAAGATATATTCCGTCAACCTCCCCAACGAAACCCTACCCTTCGGCGGAGCTTCGTCCGTTTTCTCTGCAAACAAAGAGTTCGACAGATATTGACCCGGCCGCTCACAAAAGTGCAGATACTACACTTTGATCCTAGCCACCGGGCCGAGCGGGTATTCTTTTTATAGATAGACAGAGTGAGACATAAATACATACATACAGGGATGCATTGAAGAGAATTGAAGAGAATGACATAGGTGAATTACATATATAAATAAGTGAATTAGATAGATAAATACTTAGATAGATATGTACAGAATGAGATAGATAGATAGATAGATACGTGAATTACATAGATGAGAGAATTATATACCGAGCTAGCTAGCTAAGTCTATTATCTATGTATCTAGCTAGCGAGATAGATAGATATGTACAGAGATAGATAGATACATACATACATACATACTGAAGAATATGTGATAGGTAGTTAGGAAAATTAGATAGATTGATGGATAAATAGATAGATACTGAAGATAATGCAATAGATAGATAGATAGATAGATAGATAGATAGATAGATAGATAAGAGAATTATATAGATAGATATATGGATAGATACATCTGTACAATGGGAGATAGATGAATTATATAGATAAGTGTATATTTCATGGTTATAATTTATTAAATTGCAATTTGTAGGTCTGGTGAATTGGATCGTGATTAAGATTCCAATGTAATAAATTATAACCATGGAATATTAGTGTTTGAACCTTTTATATTATATTCTTGCTCTGTCCTGGACATTGAGCTCTACCTGGATTCTTCTCTATTGGATATATATATATATATATATATATATATATATATATATATATATATATATATTGATCACAAAATATAATCTATCTATCTATCTCTCTGTGACTCTCTAATATATATATATATATATATATATACATATAGATAGATGGATATATGAATACAAAATTAGTGATCAATATATATATATATATATATATATTGATCACTAATATAATCTATCTATCTATCTATCTATTGATATTAGTTGATCAATATATATATATGTATATATATTGATCACTAATATAATCTATCTATCTCTCTCTTTCTCTCTCTCTCTATATATATATATATAGAGAGAGAGAAGTTATTGATAGATAGATAGATAGATAGATACTGAAAACATATGATAGTTGAGAAAATTACATAGATAGATAGATAGATAGATAGATAGATAGATAGATAGATAGATAGATAGATAGATAGATACTGAAAACATACGATAGTTGAGAAAATTACATAGATAGATAAATAATTTTAGATAGAATAGAAAATACTGAAAACATATGATAGTTGAGAAAATTACATAGATGAATAGATAGATAGATGAATAGATGAATACTGAAAACATACGATGGTTAGAGAAAATTACATAGATAGATAGAATGATGAATAGATGAATATAATAGATGAATAGATAGATAGATACTGAAAACATACGATAGTTGAGAAAATTACATAGATAGATAGATACATAGATAGACACTGAAGATAATCAGATCGATAGATAGATAGATACTGAAGATAGATAGATAGATAGATAGATACTGATGAGAATAAGATAGAAACTGAAGAGGAATGTAGATAGATAGATAGATAGATAGATAGATATAAATAGAAAAATTACTCTCATATGTATTTAACTTTTTATAAATTATAAATATTATGCAGACGGTTTCATTGCAAACTGACAAATATGCAAAATTCTAATTTCTAATAAAAAAATAAAATGGAATAATTGCATAAATTTTGAATTAAGAAAGCCACAAAGTATTGGATTTTTTAAGAATATTTTTCTTTCGTTTTCTTGCTTTCCTTCATATAATATTCATCTAATTTTCAAGCAGTAATAGAAACCCGTTTCAATTTTAATGAGGCTTTAATTAAAGTTATTTTTTGTTGCTCCAAATATAGCGTGATTGCTGCAACGAAAACGTAATGGATTCCCAGAATTCTCTGCGCCGTTGTGAATGACGTAACGATTATAATAATGAAAAACTTGGTTCACCTAATTTATTGTCCCGTCCATGATTCTCTATTAATATAATTAATTTGATGGGGGAACGAAAAAAAAATATTGTCCTATTATCCAGATTGTCTGATCAATTATTTTTTACGGTTTATCAACCCTTTATGTTACTTAAATCGGAAACATGTTTTGCATTGTAATTCTTTCTTTTTTTTTTTGAAATTGAAAAAATCATTTAACAATGATTTTTGAAGATACAAGTTCTACTATTTAACCCATAGATGAGCTTTCCGAAGTGTATTTGCGCGTAAATGAATGCGATGAGGTCTTACGTTCATATCAAGTGAAGACACCAGTTGCCGTCCGATCACCGAAGTTAAGCAACGTCGAGCATAGTAAGTATGTAGATGGGTGACCGCATGTGAATACCAGGCTTTGGAAGCTTGTATGTGCGTGTGGTGTAATGGATAACGGCACAGAATATGAAAACGGTGAGTCGAGTTCGAATTCCAATCGAGTTCGTTATATTCATTTACGTGCAAATACGCTTGAACGATGAATCGAAGAGTTATGATCGTTCAAGCGTGTCACATCCGTCCCTACCAACACGCATTAGAGCAGCGCTGTCCGGTCCGGTAATGGTGCCTTTTACTCCATTAACCTGGGAAAGACCTAAGTCGAACCAAGACCCTTTAAAAGCTGAAGAATATAACGTGACCTACCCGAATTCGAACTGAATTTTCTCAAGGGCATATAATATGTTTAAAAATCTCTGCGCTCTAATATATATATATATATATATATATATATATATATATATATATATATAGTCGAGTTCAAGCAGATCAGTTCCCAGGAAACCGACAACAGCACATGAGATTTGATTATAGTGGTGATGTGACCAGCCACACTTTTTGAAGTGCCGAATACAGAGACCTGGTACACTAAGCTCCGCAAGGTCCCGAAACGACCCTCTGTAGGTTTTGAATTTAGAGTTGTCCTTATCCCAGACCAGTTGCCATCCAAGGCTATAGAACCCAGTCTGTCCTGCTGTCTTACCCATAGCTGGAGGGTGAAGAAGAAGAGGATTCACACCTTTCACAAGGGTAAGTGAATGTAATTCGACTGGAATTCGAACACGGCTCTCCGATTCCTCAATACAAGCCGCTATCCACTGTGCCTCCTTAATATATATATATATATATATATATATATATATATATAGTCTATGATTGCGTACGTGCTTGCTTAAGTCAATCTGATTAAGTGAATAAGATTTAAAAATACGTGTTGTTTATACAGCAAGCATTTTTATTTTAACTTTCTTCAAACAATTTTTTTCAATTAAACTATTTTTAAGTTAAAGACAGGCACAAAGAGATCCCGCTTTGCCGTCTCGTCCTGTTGTTTGTAGAGTAATTATTCATATTTCAGCTTTCTTCAAGCAAACAATTGCTGACAGTAAACTCCAGCAGTGATTCTCTGGTTAGATTCCTGGAATTTTTCATGGATAACGCCAATGTCGGACCACAAAACAGTCACCATAATCTTCTGCTGGTGCAATTTCGATTTTGGAAATTGTTTTTGTCCTTCGTCGTGACCAAGCCATTGTGCTGATCGATTAAGAGTGCCGTAAAGGATTATTTTATCACCAACACTCCTCAGGGACTCCTCCTCACGACTATTTTAGGATTAGACAGTGCCTTAAGAGCTATCTATGCCACCGCCGACAGAGAGGAAAAAAGGGAATAAGGAGAGAATGACGACCCCAATGCGAGCAGGTGCCGTCTACTATTCAATCAAGATATGAACCTTTCGAATTTCGCAGATGCAGCAGTGGACGCGGTTCAAAACATCGAACTCCTGAAGAGCGCATTTATCAAGTTTTTCACCTTGCCGATTCTTTTCAGATGGTCCGATATTGTTGAAATATTGACACCCATTATCTGAGACATTTCTTTGGCATTTCGACGTGGGTTTTTTTCACCTAGTGTTTTTAGATGTTGTTTGTCAATTGCAGATGGACGTCCATCACCACCTTGATATTCAAGACTCGTATCCCCACTGCGGAACTTCAGAAAGCAGGACTCTTTGATTATTAGGAATGATTAATATACATTATGGTTCAGATACGTCCGGAATTCTTTACGTGGCGACAGCGCCGTGATGTCACAGCATAGCGACCTTTGGAGAGTGTCATTAGAATGTAAAACTCGACCTCAGTCACACTCTGGCAATTGACGCACGAGGTGCTTAGTAATCGACATGTCTTCAGAAGACGATCGTCGAGTTGCCGTTGTGGGGAGTTTTCGCTCCGGCAAAAAAGCCAACCAAATCATTCTGTTGATGTACTTTCGGCTTTGGAAAGTGCTTGGGACCATCATCAGAATCAAGTCGTTGAGCACGTGGAACTAGAACAGTCTACCCCCAGTGAGCGAAATAAAGGGGTTCATTTCGACATTCCAACCACCTGAAGAAGGCCGGAGCGTACAACAGCGGAAACGTTGTAATAAATATGACGACAAAGATGAGGACAATAGTCCGAATAATGTAAATAGTGGACAAAATACATCATCTCAGAAATATAGACATACTGTTTTCGGATATTGATTTTTAATTGCAGATGGGCAGCCACTACCACTTTGATAATCAAGACTCGTATTCCCACTGCGGAATTTCAAAAATCAGCGTCGCAATGTCTACTGTCTTTTGTATACCGAGAGCTTGTACACTATTTACATATGAAACGACGAAATGAACTCTTTCTTTATTTCGCTCATTGGGGTAGTCCCGCGTGCTGTGTTTTAAGGGATGTCATTTATTTCCTGTATAGGCGCCTCTCCGAGTTCTCCACTGCCTTAACCGGGTATTGAACTCACACTCTTTGGGTCCTATCACAGAATCAAACTAACGCCTTTATCCACTGTGCCATGTGTCCTTGAAGTATGAATTTCTGGGTATTATAAACTTAATGTTTTCAGCAACCTTTTTTACCGGTGCTCATATTGCAATTTTTGCTCTTATCATTGCATGTTTTTATCAGAGCTCATATTGCAATTTTTGCTGTTATTATCGCTTTTCTCTGGCACTCTTTATTACTGGTTCCCATATTGTATTCATTTCTATGGTTGGTCGGCTCAGGAGATTTTTGTGCCGTAGCATATGTTCTGATTCCTTAAGTTTACGAATTTTCCAATGGTGTTCTTTGTCTTTGAGGACACATGGCACAGTGGATACATTTAAATGAATAATTACAATTATATATTAAAAGACACAATGCTTATTCTATAATCAGTTATTATTTTCCAAACAGCTTAAGACAAAGTAAAGAAAATATTTGAATATTAGGAAATTAGATTCAACGGGGAGTTACAAAAACTATCACATTATGCTGCGTATTTATTTCTATCAATATTTCCAAAAAACACCCTTCGTCCTTTTCTTTTGAATGTCGGAGATGTGCTGTTTTCGGCTGCACTGGCGTTGTTTTAAGTTTTAACCAAAGCATAAAACAATCCTAATTTAGTGAGATCGTTATTTTCAGTAAATTTTACACCGTAAATTTAGTGCTTGTGTTTAAATTGTCAAGATTACCGGTAATGAAGATTTCATGCTATAATACCGGTGAAAGGATTTACCAGTATGGTAAGCACTATCGTTATGGGTTAACCTACGCATAAATCAAACTTTATTTCTCTATCCAACTTTGCATCGATCTAATTTAAAATTAATGATCAATTTTGGTTTCTGACGAATCCATAGAGAGGTATTTCAGGATGTATTAAGGTTAAGTTCCAGTGGCACTAGGCACTCGAACTTCTCTTCTAATTATTAATTTTTCTAATTATTACATTCTAAATAATTGCCATGAATTTGGGGTCAATTTGCACTGCTCAGTTCGCATTAAAGACTTCCAGAATACTTACATTTACCGTTTTGGAGTTATCGACAGTGAAAGTTCGGATTCTTTCGCGTCGTTGGCGGCCGCCATTGCTCGCGTTGTTTGCATACATTCGCTGCGGAAATCTAAACGCGGAAGACTACAGAAAGCTAAGCGTAGAACTGATCTTTCTTATCTAAATTTGTCTCAATTACTACGCACGAGAACTATTTACGTAGGCACACACTGTTTACGCAATGATACCTTTTTTTACTTTTTTTTTTTAAGCGTTTCACCCCAAGCAAGGCGAGAAGCCACTAGGACGCAAGGGGTTACAGAAAATTTGGAGCAAGATCATTATAGAAGTGATAGAAAAAAGGATGAGAAGGGTAGTGAATAGATCAAGGCAACTGGGAGATACACTGATAGCTATTCTGCAGCGAATGTATGCAAGCAACGTCAGTAATGGCTGCCCTGGAATGAATCCTGATTTTCACTTTTTTTTCTCTCTCAGTCTGTGATGATTTTACCATGATTAGTAAAGTCTTTTTTGTTGATATATGCTATTAGTGGGTAAAATTGGGGATAGTGAGTGAGTAAAGAACCTGTTTTTTACCGATTTCTTCCTTGAAAATCTTTGTGGGAGGGAGGGGGGCGTCTAATTCATCGGACCGAAACAAGCAGCGAAATACGCACCTAATTTTTATTGAGTTTGTCACTTTTTAATCGAAACAATTATAGCATCTCATGCTAAATTAAATCTTTCTTCTTTTTCTCCTCTCCTTCTTTCTTCCTCTTCTTCTTCCTATTCTCCTCCTCCTCCTTATTTTCTCCTCCTTCTTCCTTTCCTCCTCTTCCTCCTTCTTTTTCATATTCTTTTCATCATCATCCTCCCCCTACTGCTTCTTCTTCAAGAAAAAAAGAAGATGAAAAGTGAAAAAAAAATCGCGTATAATTCATGAAATAAGGAGGTAATCCTTTCTCTCAACGTCAAAAAAAAAAGTCGCAGAAATAACAATATCTTTTGTTTGTATTTACTCAAAACACGGAGACAGGTTGTGATACAAGGTAGGTTTAATGTGGGGATCCCGAGCGCGTACACCCGGGCTAGGAACAAAAATTTCCTGCAGCCCCTGTAACCGTCAGTAGCGCTAGCCTCGGTGCGAGCACCGTTCACTCTCTCCTGTGCAATGAGAGGGCGTGGACTCGGGAAGCTGTTCCCTCTTTCTTCTTTTTCTCCTCTCCTTCGTTCTTCTTCTTCCTGTTCTCCTCCCCCTCCTTATTTTCTCCTCCTCCTTCTTTTCCTCCTTCTTCCGTTCCTCCTCCTCCTTCTTTTTCATATTCTTTTCATCATCATCATCATCATCATCATACTGCTTCTTCTTCAAGAAAAAGAAGATGAAAAGTGAAAAAAAATCGCGTTTAATTAATAAACTAAGGAGGTAACCCTTTCTCTCAACTTCAAAAAAAAAAAAAAAAACTCGCAGAAATAATATTTTTTGTTTGTATTTACTCAAAACACGAGGGGAGATTGTGATACAAGGTGGGTTTAATGTGGGGATCCCGAGCGCGTACACCCGGGCTAAGAACAAAAATTTCCCGCAGCACCTGTAACCTTCGGTAGCGCTACCCTCAGTGCGAACACCGTTCCCTCTCTCTCGTGCAATGAGAGGGCGTGGACTCGGGCAGCTGTTCCTTCTTAGTATAATTTCCATCAGTTGACGGAGCCGCCCCTGAGCGCACTCTGCCCAAAGACAGTTTACACACTTAGAAATGACAATATATAGACACTTGTAGTACTCCAGCAACATTTAACTGGGGTGCTGCTCTATCCCTTAATAATAACAATAATAATAATAATAATAGCAACTAGTTTTAGCCCGTGAAAATGTCAAGCTTTTCGTATTTGATTTTTCCGATGAATCTTAATTTTTAAGTTAATGAGTTAATAAGGTCATGGCGAGTTCTATGAGAAGAAAATATCCCTAAAGATTCCCCTATCGTATCGTTAAAAAAAAAAGCTATAACAAAATATTGCAATAACAATCATCAATATTAATGTTGATCGTTATTTTAAGAAGTTGACACAAATGTAAAGATTTGAAATCAAAGACTTTTTACATTTCACTGAAACAGACGTTAAATAATTTTCTTTCTTTCTTTCTTTCATTTTTTTTTTTTTTTTTTACTGAAACCCATCACTGCTATTTCCCTTCATTCTACAGGATCAGAACGGAATAGTCCATTATTTATGAGGTATTGGCAAAAGACGTTAAACACTTCAATTCGGAAGAGTGCATTATTTATTGAGGTATTCTATCTATCTATCTATCTATCTTTCTTTCTTTCTTTCTTTCTTTCTTTCTTTCTTTCTTTCTTTCTTTCATTTTCTCACTGAAACCCATCACTTTCATTTCCCCTCTTTCTGCGCGATCAGAACGGAATAGTCCACTATTTATGAGGTATTGGCAAGAGACGTTAAACACATCTATCTATCTATCTATCTATCTATCTATCTATCTATCTATCTATCTATCTATCTATCTCATTCTTTTTTCTATCTATCTATCTATCTATCTATCTATCTATCTATCTATCTATCATATCTATCTATCTCATTCTTTTTTCTATCTCATTCTTTTTCTATCTATCTATCTATCTATCTATCTATCTATCTATCTATCTATCTATCTATCTCTATTTTCTTTTCTCTATCTATCTATCTATCTATCTATTCTATCTATCTATCTATCTATCTTTTTCATTTTTCTCTATCTATCTATCTATCTATCTATCTATCTATCTATCTATCTATCTTTTTTTATTCATTTTCTCACTGAATTCAAGTATCGTCTTTTCCCGCCTTTCTACGTGATCAATCCGGAATAGTCCATTATAAATAATAGTCCATTATTTATGAGCAGGAGTCGTTCAACTTTTCTTTCTTTCTTTCTTTCTTTCTTTCTTTCTTTCTTTCTTTCTTTCTTTCTTTCTTTGTCTTTTTCCCTCTTTCCATGCGATCAAAACGGAATAGTCCATTGTCCATATTGGCAGAAGACTTTGAACAATTCTTTCTTTCTTTCTTTCTTTTTCATTCATTTTCTCACTTAAAACAAATAGCGTCTTACCCTTTCTTCCACGCGTTCAACACGGAATAATCAATTATTTATGAGGCATTGGCAGGGTGTAACGGCCGTGCGAACAGTGGGAAGCACAACAATAATAATAATAATAATAATGCTCACCAACCAGACACAGTTACCGAAAATAATGATGTAACTCTCCTCTGGAAGATGCCAATTCAAACTGACAGGGAAACA